TAATAATTAAGGTTATGATGATTAAGGTAATGATTAAGGTAATAATTTAAGTAACAATTAAGGTAATAATTAAGGTAATAATTAAAGTATTAATTAAGGTAATAATTAAAGTAATAATTAAGGTAATAATTATTAAAGTAATAATTAAGGTAATAATTAAAGTAATGATTAAGGAATTAATAAAGGTAATAATTTTGGTAATAATTAAGGTAATAATTAAAGTAATAATTAAGGTAATAATTAAGGTAATAATTAAAGTAATAATTAAGGTAATAATGATCAAAGTAACAATTAAGGTTTTGATTAATTTAATGCAATAATTAAGGTATTCAAATGATTAAGATGATATATAATAAAATGATTAAGGTAATGATTAAATTAATGATATGGTAAGGCAGGTTAATAATTTGCTGTTTTTTAAAATTAACCAACTTCAAGGAAGTATAGGGATTTTGATTACAGTCTAAAGATTTGATGGTCACAATGTTGTTGAAACATGAGTAAACAATAAAAAATGTATTGTTCTTTCAGCTCTTGCTTCGTGCAACTCCCAGCTCAGGATCTGTCGACATTGACAATGTTCGATTTTGCGATACATGCAATTAAAAGGTATAGTGCAATCTGTTGAACGACTTGCATGTTATAAATTCTCTGAATATTTAAAACAGTCGAGTATGCTACCGTTTGCAATCCACTTTGAACTATATGAAATATGTGAGATCTCTATAGATGAGCAATGATGCTCTTAGAACAAACGCAAATTATGTTTATTAAATGTGATGTAAAGTCCGTAATGTAAACAAACGCTTTGTTTACATTTTGAACTCAGTGCTACAGTTGTAAAATATGATTAGATATATATTATACTGAATTTTTGACACTCTTCTGGTTCGCTATGCTTGTAAATGAATGCAGACTAGAGATTCAATTCAAGAAAGTTCGGAAGGTGCGAAATATTAACAACATTCCAAAGGTTGTTCCCCCAACACCGCGGAAAAACGTCTGCACATGCACCAAATTATGAAAATATGGCGGGGAATTTGAATATCAATTTCTAAAACAAAAACATGCTTATTAATTGGTCAAAAATTAGTAAAATAAACGAGAAAATATAGCAAATGGGTAGACTAGACATTAATTGAAAGCGTCCTGGCATTTAAAGTATGGAATGAAATATAATTCATGTAAAAAATGTTGATTTTAACGGACACGACTTCGAAAATTTTTGCAAAATTATTCAAAACAAAAATTCAAACTAAAAAGTTAAGAAAACTCTCGAAAAGTTAATCCTAAAGTTTAATTATTGTGAACACGAAAAATTTTTATATTTGGCGACACAGTTTTTTTTTTAAAGAAATGTATCTCAAACGAAAATTCGAAAATTGTCGTTGCTTAGTTGATAAACAAAATGTTTTACACGATAAATTTGTCAACAATCACCTTTAGTTCATATTCTTGTACAATACAATTTCTTGAATCTTTTGGCTGTATTTATTCCTAGTTTTTAGAATGACATGTTTATTTTTGCGCTCGAAATCTGGCTGTAAAGACGCACAATGAAGTCACTCCTTTTTACCGCCATTTTGAGCCTCCGGAAACGTTCGGAACAGCTTCTCATCAAGTTCGCAATACTATTACAGGTAAGGTTGACGCATGCGCAGACGTTTTTCCGCGGTGTTTGTTCCCCCACTGATGGAATGTGTTGATGCGCAGAATATATGCGCAGAACGGACTTTACAGCATCTTTAAAATATTGTTTGTAAAAAAAAAGTTTTACATACACTTAAAAACGAGCAGAGGTGCTTTATTTAAAAAAAAGAAACAGAGAAGTTCCTCTCTGTCTTACCAACTTCGATTGCTGAGAAACGTTTTGTAGAGAAAAGTATCGTCACAACCTGGATCCGTACACATGGTGTACGTTGTGGTTGACCCTGGGAATATGGAGATTGGCTGTGTGACACGTTACAATGACAATATGCATTCTGATAAAATTTCTACCCGAATCTATTTTCAAAATAGTCAAAATAACTACTCGAACTAAAGTAAATAACTTTTCTTGCTGTAATTCATTTAATAAGTTGGCCATATCAAGGGTTTTCTGGGAAAATGGCCAATATACTATGGCCTACATCTGTCCCTCTTTTCGCGTGAAAAACACACTCAAAGTTTACGTTGCAAAATGTGACATTTAATCAGTGAAAATTCACATTTGCGTATAAGCAAAAGTCAAACCTCTCACAGTTGATTGCAAACGGTAGTATACTTATTTACGTTTTTATTTTTTACTAGGACGTGAAAGAAGGTTGCAGTTCATTAAATTACATTCAAGCACTAGACATTATATTGTAATGTCTTCAATAAAATCTACAAAATAATGCTGTTGAAGGGTTTGAATCTGGGTTTATTCATTTGGTCGTCTTTGTTCATCCAGATTAATTATTTACAAAATGTTTTATTTTGTCTAATGTTTCAGTTTCCTCTACGAAAACCATTCCAATTGTTCATCTTGCATCAGTTCAGCATAATCGCGTGGTTGTTTTCGCGCGCTTTGACATTCTGTGCGCGCTCGTTCATTTCCAATTAAACTACACATGTTAAAATGCTTCCAGCTTGTTGACAAATTGTCAACGGCTTGTTAACAACTTGCTACAAGGTTGTTGAGCTCAACAGACTTGTTACAAGTTGTTCCAACAATTTGTTATCGTCTTGCAATTCAACAAGTTGTCTACAAGTTGTGAGTGACAAGCTTGTAGCAACTTGATAAAATAACAGCATTGTTACAACTTGTTGACAAACTTGCTATACACGCCTGTTTCGAACACATCTTCGCAAGTTGTGAGATTGGGGTATCACGGCATATATTAATGCTGTTCTTTTAGCATTTTTAGGAGTTCTCCTGAAAAGCCTCTCATTTGAAGGAGTATAAGGCAGAATAAACTACGTGAAATATAATTTTCCACCAACAACCTTGTTTTCCGCATATCTCAAAGTTTCCCACAGGCAAACTTCCTTTTCGTAAATTGCTTTTTTAAAATAATTGCTTTCGTGTGCGTGTGAGGTCTCACTGGACGTGACGTTGTGACGTAAGTCTTGAATCGATGTTTTTGTTTTGGCCACTTACAGATTGTTCACATTACCCAATACTGTCATTTCCTGTAAGCTCTGACCAATAACACTGCAGCCTGTACATATATTGAACGCATATATATAAGTATAGGTATTATAGTCTGTATACGTTAAAAGGATACCGTTTCCATTCTCATCGCGGCATATTGTGAGGGTCAGCTATTCCCAGTGGTCTTACTGCGCTACGGAGTAAAATTATCCCTGGATTCCAGTAAAGTCTTTGGAGTACGTTTTTCTGTGAAGAAGTTACAGAATAATTTCCAAATTGTAAAAGGTACGTATCGTTACCATTTTAAACATAATTTATAGAAGTACAGTATACTGTTGAGTGTTGAAAGAAATTATCATAATATACTCTCAACTGGAATTCTGAAATCTAAAATACTAAATAGATTTTTTCTCTTTTGTAGAAGATAAGTAATATTGATCTGTACTAAAAGTGTAACCAACATCTCGGAGAATTCTTTAAGATACAGGTATTATATTATTAACTGTACAGTGCAAATGCATCGTAAAATTTTCACGGGTGTAAAAAATGTAAAGTATTTTGGTACAACCACGTAGCCAACTTTTTTCTTATAAACACTTTCACTTGTCGTTGCGAACGAAGTATTGTACATCGTGTACTGTACAATCGATTCCAGGTATAGACTAAATTTTGATCTAGGCAAGAAGAACAAAATCCATCACAACTGCTAGAAAGAGCATGTTAAAATTAGTAAAATTGCAAAGTTTGGCGGCGAAATGGTGTAAAATGAGGAAAATATAGCCCTACGAAATTTGCAAATTTTGTATTAATTTCTATTACGCATGGGAAAATGCACCACTTTCGGCCCAAATGTGGTCTATAGCTAGAATCATAAAAATTTAGTCTAGGAGTATAGCTGGAATCACTCACTGAAAGGCTTTTTTATAAGACAGTGGAGTATTGCAGTCGCTCTCCTCTTGGCAAGTAAAATCGTCTGGCCTTAGACAGAGTATAAAATAATAATACAACTGAATGAGTTCAAGATTCATTTCTATTTTCGTCACATAATTTATGCGACGAGACAAAGATTGTGACATTGCTCTCTGGTGTAACCTCAAGATACAGAAGCTCAAACTTTAACCTCCCATGTTGAGGGTCAAAATAATATTGACGTCGCTCAGCAGCGCAACATGACGTTAAAATGACGACGCTTTGTCAATGAATTAGTATCCCAGCGTGAAGGGGGCATGTTTATTTTGAGCTTCCGACTGTTGTCATGATGAAATTACTCATGGCTTCACAGCAAATCAATCTGATCCTTGATCGAAACAAAATTAATGAGCCTGTGAGATACCTTCCTTGTAAAATTAACTCACAGAAAAGTAAACTTGAGTAATTTTACTCAAAGTTTTACGTGAAATTATTTTGCTCAGTGATATAGAATGTAAAATCTTGTTAACTACATTTTATTGAAAAGCCCGAAGGCATAATAAGCTACAATAGACAATCTATGTATGAGCTACCAGCGGACAATTTCACGAATATGCAAGAAAAACATACTCCAAAAATTAATTCCGTGACAATCAGATATATGACCCATGTTGAAAAATTAACAAGACAAAAGGTGTTATGTCGATTTTATATGTTTTGGATTTGACAATATGAACCACTTTGAAATAGAGTCGAAATATTACCGTTAATACTGCATCTATGGACTTTCTGTCTTGTTTTTACAAGGCATTTTTTGTCGAAGTAGATTTTTTCTTACACTTATAGAATAAGATTTCAATAGACAACACGCAATATTATTTCAAATATTAACTATTTTGTTCTAAAGTTATCGATTCCTTTATGGCTGGGATATTAATCGGATATCATATAGTTTTTATCATATAATAGCCAATAGATTCCTAAGGCTATTCATGCATGGCCTTTCTTTTAACAGACTTGTCAAAAATCTAACAAACTTTTAATTAGAGGAAGGAAAACGGATGGGAATTTTATGTCCTTTCGATTCATTGTGCACAGATTTCAATTCATTGACATCAGTCACAACAACATATAAAACTTGCATAATTAACGGAATCCCCCTTTGTCTAGCATAATTGCCCATATCATGAACAGGAAATGGCTTAATATCAGGTCTTTTTGGGAGAGTGAAAATTTTGAATGAATCCGGAATTGTAAGATCCTGTCGTCACACAGTGGTGCTAATTAGGCGATATTTTTGAACGTTTTTGGAGGTCATTTTTATCAACCCTATGCTGAGATTGGTGTTTACAAGCCCTGACTACGGAAAGAGGGGACTCTATAAATTTGAGGGGTTTCATTCGTGATTTGTGTATTGGTTAAACGTACAGTACACGGTTTGCTAGTTTTTCGTGAAGAAAATTCCATAAAAGTCAGGGAATTCAAAGCAAAGAACGAGTTATTTTGTCGTCTGATAGGTATAAAAGGAGAGGATTTTTTTTGTTACTTTGAAGATTTAAAGATATTCGACACTTTAAGTCAGAAATTTATAGTCATTTGTGATTTGAATTAAGAAAGAGAATAAAGTATGGTTTCTAAAGAAGTGAATAAAGTATGGCTCAGGGAAACATGATACAATATACCCGCGAGAAAACCCGAACACTGCGTTGTCAACAAGTGGGATTTGTTGAACTCACATATTCAGCGAGCCGGCCTGACAAGCCCTCTCTCTATACATATAACTGAATAGCGTATAATTTAATGCTTGACATGTTCCCTAGATAGGTCAACTGTAAAACTACTAGCATTTGTCTAGCAAGTTTAAATGCGAATTAGAGATAAATTATTATATATATTTTTCTTAATTGCAGTTATTCACAAGCCTTGGATCAAAATGATTTCAGTTTCATTGTTGTGTCTCCTTTTCACCATCATTGAAGGTACGTGTTCGGACACATTCGGAGATTCGTAATTGGTTTATTTAAGTACACTTCGCTCAGTTTTGGTACCCGTACCATTTTTATCCGTGCTCGGACTACCTATTTACAAAGGCCAAGCGCGGATAAATTTGGTACGGGGTTTAAGGTGGGTTGCGTGAGTTAGATTAGGTAAAGTTAGGTTAGGTTAGGTTAAATAAGCTTAGGTGTGGTTAGGAACAGAGAAAGTTCCAGTAGTTTGGGAATAGAATAATAGGTTTGGGTATAGGTCAGTCCAGTAAATTGTGGAAGGTTAGGTTAAGTTTGGTAAGGCAAGGCAAGGTAAGGTAAGGCTAACTCTTGACGAAGGGCCTTCGCTCGAAACGTCGAGTTTCTGCTTGTTTTTTAAGGTAGTAATATAACCACTCAGCACAGCATTTTTAAGGTAAGGTAAGGTAAGGTATAAGGTAAGGAATAAAGTAAGTTCAGATAGTTTAAGAATAGGATAGATTTGGGTATGTCAGTTAGGTTAGATTAGATTAAATTAGTTTAGTTATAGTTGTTTTGAGTTTGAGATTTACCATGACAGCTAAGACACGTCTTAGTTTAGTTGCATGAATAGATTTTACGGTGTATTGCACTTTTGCCCAAATGATCTCATTTATTCAGTTTAGTTTTGTTCATTTAGGTTTTATATCCAATCAAATGCTAGATAAATTTTTAAAACTAAATGATTAACCAATTATTGTTCCCTTTCAGGAGCGAACATCTGTAACCTGCGAGACACGACCAACCCCACAGGCGATGTATCATCCCCAAATTACCCTCGGAACTACCCAATATCCCAGCAATGTTCCTTTACTATTACTGTGACCATTGGCAAATCCATTGTTATCTCATTTAAAGCCATGGATCTTGAACAAGATGAAGGTATAATCAATTATAATTAATTAATTAACATAATTAGCATCGCCCCATGCAGACAAGCAAGTTTCCTTGATAAGTTTAATTTCTCGTGGTTTTCCTTGACAACTTTCCGTTGACAAGTTTTGTCGCTCGTGTGCACGGAATATTTTTAAGAGGAGATTTTTTTGTATGTTACGTAACACGCGCTCAAAACTAATGCGTATGATATACCACTTGAGCTTATGACTAAATTCAAAATTTTTATTTTTCGATACGTTTCTCAATCGGCAAACAAACTTAAAAAGTATGTTTAATGCTTTATCTGTAAAATAATACTAAAATGAAGAGATTTTAGATGATACGCCGAAGAGAAATTGATGTCTGAAGTTCAGTAAGTTTTGCTTATATGGCTGTAAATATGGCGTCAATTTTAAAGCATCATTGATAATTGTATTTTAATTGACAATTTTAAACTATTATTTTATGTTTCTCAACCGGTAGATA